GGCGGGGTGGCTCCGCGCCGGGGCGGCTGGACGCGCGCCGCGTTGCGGTACGAGATGCTCCCCTTGTAGCTGACCCGGAGCACGGCGCGCTGCTGGATCAGTTTCTCGAGCTCGGCGCGCGTGCGCTCCGGCTCCGGGCCGTGCCGCCGCCGCACCATCCGGCAGATGCGCTCCAGGTCCGGCCGCGCCTTGCGCGAGCGCAGCGAGTCGATGGTGTCCAGGATCCACTCTTGGTAGTGCGGGGAAGCGGCGGACGACGAGGCAGCGGCCGCCGTGGTGGCGGCCGCCGCCGTCTCCGGCGGGGGTAGGGCCGGGGGCCCCGCCATGCCTCCCGCCCGGCCCGGCTGCACCGTGCGCGCTGCCTCCCTCCCAGCGCGGCGCCCCCCTCCCCGGCTCCCCTCCCTCCGCCGCTGCCCGCCTCCTCCGCCTCCCCCCCCGGGGGGCGCAGCGCCTCGGCGGAGCGGCGGCGGCGCTGCTGTTTCTTTGCCAAAAAAAAAAAAAAAGAAAAAAGCGAGAGAGAGGGAGCGCGAGAGAGAAAAAACAGTGAGAGAGAAAGAAAAGAGAGAAAAAAATATGCACACACTCACTCACTCGCACGCACGCACACACAGACCCGCTTCTGCTGGGCGCGCGCGGGGCCGGGGATGCGAGGAGGGAGGAGGGGAGCGCGGCGCGGCCGGCCCCTCCCCGCCGCCGCCGCCGCCGCACGCGCGCCCTGCGCCCGGGACACTCCGGCCCCCCTTCCTTCCCTCCCTCCCTCCTCCCCGCCGCCCGCCTTCCTCCCTCCCACCCCCACGCGCCCGCTTTTAAGGTGGAGCCCGGGCCCCCCGCCCGCCCCCTTTACCCTGCGCTCTCGCTCACTCTGGCTCGCTCCGGCCCCCCCTTACAACTCCCGCGCGCTTTTTAAGGAGGCGCCGTGGAGTTGGCGCCGGGGCGGGGGCGGGGGAAAGCGGCGGGCGGGGGAGGGGGAGGGGAGCGCCGGGGGGGAGGGGAGAGGGGGCGGGCGGGGCGGGCGGGCGGCGCTCGGCCGCCCTCCAGCCATTGGGCGCGGGACCCAGACGTCCCCGGCGCCCAGCCCCCCTCTCCACGCCTCCCCGGCGCGCTCCGCTCTCGGGACCGCACTTACCGGGAACTCGCCGCCCGCGGGCCGGGCCGCTGCGCTTGCCGGGCGCCGCGGGGACCCTCGGACTGTCGCCACCCCCGCGCCCCAATGGCGCGCTTGGCCCCGCGCTCCGCGCCGAGGATGCGGGGAGGGGGGCGCGCACGGTTTCCCCCACCCTTTACCCCTCCCCTGCCACGGCCGCCCCCGCCGCCGCTCGGCCTCCCGGCGCGCCGGCCCCAGCGTCTCCCTAGAGCGCCCTCTCGGCCGAGGGCTGGACGCCGAGGGGGCGCGCCGTAGATTCGGGAACCCCGAATCCAGGGTCAAAGGGCACTTTGGCGCCCCCTTCTCCTGCGGGGCGGGGTAGTGGCGGAATTCCAGCCAAACCCGGTTTTACAAGGACTCCAGGCCAGATCCTGATCAGCCTGGACGTTGCGGTCCGAAATTCTCTTTCCAAACCCCTGGGGGTATGTGGGCGGGTGACCGAAGTCGGGAACACCAGCGACACTTTTTTTTTAAACAAAACTTTATTGGTAATAGTTTTCAAATATGTTTACAACAGCACACTGTTCAAGAGGAAGTCGCGTCCTTCGCAGCACACAGGTTGAATCGCCCCCGTGCCCACCCGGGGCCCCACCCCAGGCCTGAGAGCTCCTCCTGGATGGGGAGAAGTTATGAGAGGGACAAATATGGGGATGAATGGGGTGGCTCCCCACTTTTGTGTTGAGAGAAAAAAGCACAAATTGGGGGGGGGGAAAGGGTGATGGACAGCTGACAGCTAAGCAGAGGAGGAGCGCCCAGGATGGGGGGAGGGGGGCGGAGGCTGCTGGGTGAATAAAACAGGCAGCCCCTCCCCAGCAACCCTGGCCTTGAACCCCTGGCCAAGAGGCGGGAGGAGGGCTTTGCCTTCTTTTGCGGGGGTTGCCTTCCCAACTGAGCAGAGAGGAGGCTGGGCATTAAAATCTAGCTGAGAATAAAATTAGAGTTTGGGGGGAGTGCTGGTGGGAGGAAAGACCCTGGGCTTGGGGCTCCCCTTCTATCTTTTCGGGGGACAACTCCTTTTTGGCAGGGAGAGGGGCAGCTGCTTTCTTTGTCTCGGCCGAAGCCCAAGGGTGAAGAAAGGTCTGTTGGGGCAGAGGGGGACAGGGGCTTCCTAAAGGGGCTGAGACCCTTCCAGGCTTGCCAGGGGACCCCCCAGGGTTGGGGGGAGGTGGGCAGAGGAGCAGAGAAGATTAGCAGCTTGGGGCGGAGGTTTGAACCCCAGCTCCTTCCTTTAGAAATTCAGTCTGCTTCCCAGCCTTGTTAAAATGGATTTGGGAAGGGGGCAGCTTGGGAGGGGTAGGGGAAGGAGGAGGGGGAGGCACTGGTGGAACTTAAATAAGATTATACTTTTTTTTTTTTTTTTAAATTCTAGCAAGCAGCCCACTGAACAGGTCACTAAAATCTCTCCTTTCCAGGCACCACTGCTCTGAAGAGAAGGCTGGCCTTTCCTTCATTTGCCCTTAGAGGGTGATGCCTGTGGTTTAGGGGGGGTGGGGAGGGACTTAAGTTTGGGCCCCTCTTTCCACACCCCGTCCCTGAATACACCAGTAAGACATGGTCTGACTGGAATATAGAAACTCGTTTAAAACAGGCAGAAGTGGGCTGGGTGGGGGGCTTCTTGGGAGGAGGAAGGCAAAAGCGGTAGGGGGAGGTAGGAGGGGGAGGGGTTGAGGGGGAGCAGCTGGTGTTTCCATTCCTCTGAATATCTGGCTTCCTGCTCCCCCTACCCTGGAGGGTGGGGTGGGGTAAAATTAGATGCAAGGAACTCTGGGGCCCTCTGGCTGTTCAATCCAACCCCCCCCCCCCCCCCCCCAAAAAAAAAAAAAAAAAAAAAAAAAAGAAAGATGAAGAAAGAAAACCCGTGGGGGCACAGGCACACCCCTAAAACTCAGTAAACTCCTTGCCACACTTCTCATTGATGGAGACTCGGATCTCTTCCTCCTCATAGTCGTCAAAATTACTCGTGTCCCCAGGGCCTTTAAACTTTGGTATGAAGGGAGCTTCCACCTGGAGAGGGGTCAAGAACGACTCAGACCTCCGTAGTCAACATAATCATCCTTACAACAATAAATGTGAATGGCCTAACATTCATGAGATAACTTCCTCTGACCCAGGCCTGAGCTTAACATAAGGATGTGGACTCACCTTAACAACCTAAGAATCTCATTATATAGCCAGCTCACCAGAGGGGTGTCTCGTGCCCAAGGTCACAGAATGGCCAAATGACTCCACCAACCCCCATCTAGACCCCACTGTCCTAAGGCCCCTCAGCTACACTGACTCAGAGCCTGTGGCCTATTTTTAGATGCCACTGCCCTTTCCCTCTCTCCACTGGTAGCCCTCCCTGGCTCGTGGCCTCTGCTCAAAACCCTCAGTGCACCTGGTGGGGATGGGGGGTGGCATGGGGAAGGAGGCAGCGCACCTTCCTCTGGTAGATGGCGATCCAGTCAGTTGTGGCAAACCACTTGTGGTTCTTGATGTCGTTGACCCCGTTCTTGAGGTTCCCGAAGCGTTTGGTGAGGTCCACCTGCAGCAGGTTCCGCAGCAGATCCTTCAGGTCAGAGCTGAAGTGGGATGGGAACCGCACCTGGAGAAGGGGTTAACACAATCAGAGTGGGGGACTTGTCTGGAGTCTGGGGAATCCCAGAATGCTGCCTTTGCCACCTAATAGTCCGTCGCAGGTGGAGAATCCTCAACTTAAGTGTGCTTTAGGATCCCATTAAAAAAGCCTGTCGGGGGGGGGGGGCGCCTGGATGGCTCAGTTGGTTAAAGCATCTGCCT